AAGCAACTCAAAATGGTGCTCAGTATGGGCCCCACGTGCTTGTATGCATGCCTGACAATGTCGGGGCATGCTCCTAATGAGACAACAGATGGTGTCCTGGGGTATTACCGCCCAGATCTGGACCAGGGTGCAACCTGGCAACGTCGGATGAACCAAAGCATGATATCCCAGAGGTGTTCTATTGGATTTAGGTCAGGTGAGCGTGGGGGCCATTCAATGATATCAATTCCTTCATCCTCCAGGAACTGCCTGCATACTCTCACCACATGGGGCCGGCCATTGTCATGCACCAGGAGGAACCCGGGACCCACTGCACCAGTGTAGGGTCTGACAATGGGTCCAAGGATTTCATCCCGATACCTAATGGCAGTCAGGGTGCCATTGTTTAGCCTGTAGAGGTCTGTGTGTCCCTCCAGGAATATGCCTCCCCAGACCATCACTGACCCACCAACAAAACGGTCATGCTGAACCATGTAACAGGCAGCATAACATTTTTCACGGCCTCTGCAGACCCTTTCATGTCTGTCACATGTGCTCAGGGTGAACCTGCTCTCATCTGTGAAAAGCACAGGGTGCCAGTGGTGGATCTGCCAATTTTGGTGTTCAATGGCAAATGCCAGTCAAGCTCTATGGTCCCGGGCAGTGAGCATAGGACCCACTAGAGCAGCGGTTCTCAACCTGGGGGTCGCGACCCCTTTGGGGGTAGAACGACGCTTCCACAGGGGTCGCCTAAGACCATCGGAAAACACATATTTCCGATGGTCTTAGGAACCGAGACACCGCTCCTCGCCGCCGCCGTCTCCAGGTGTGGGCGGGATGACATGCCGCCCCTGTCATCTGGACACACCTCGAGATCAATCCTCGCCTGTGATTGGCCGCCGGCACTGTAGCTCAGGAGAGGCACACAGGCGGCCAATCACTGGCAAGGAGGTGGAGCTTGGAGAGGAGGAGCCGAGCGGCACCGCGAAGATCGAGCGAGTGAAGAGGAGGAGAGCGGCCGGAGAAGGAAGACAGCTGACAGGTAAGTGTCGGTACCATGGGAGAGGGAGGGAGCGAGCGAGCCCAGGCTGGAGCAGGGGTCTGCAAGGTAAGTATCATTGGTGTCAGTGGGAATAGTGCCCCATCATTGGTGTCACTAATACCAATAATGGGGCACTATTCCTCCCACTGACACCAACGATGGGACACTATTCCTCCCACTGACACCAATGATGGGGCACTATTCCTCCCACTGACACCAACGATGGGGCACTATTCCTCCCCCACTGACACCAACGATGGGGCACAATTCCTCCCCCCACTGACACCAAGGATGGGGCACGATTCCTCCCCCCACTGACACCAACGATGGGGCACAATTCCTCCCCCCACTGACACCAAGGATGGGGCACAATTCCTCCCCCCACTGACACCAAGGATGGGGCAGTATTCCTCCCCCCACTGACACCAAGGATGGGGCACTATTCCTCCCCCCACTGACACCAAGGATGGGGCACTATTCCTCCCCCCACTGACACCAAGGATGGGGCACTATTCCTCCCCCCACTGACACCAAGGATGGGGCACTATTCCTCCCCCCACTGACACCAAGGATGGGGCACTATTCCTCCCCCCACTGACACCAAGGATGGGGCACTATTCCTCCCCCCACTGACACCAAGGATGGGGCACTATTCCTCCCCCCACTGACACCTATGATGGGGCACTATTCCTCCCCCCCCACTGATACCAATGATGGGGCACTATTCCTCCCCCCACTGACACCAAGGATGGGGCACTATTCCTCCCCCCCACTGACACCAAGGATGGGGCACTATTCCTCCCCCCACTGACACCAAGGATGGGGCACTATTCCTCCCCCCACTGACACCAAGGATGGGGCACTATTCCTCCCCCCACTGACACCAAGGATGGGGCACTATTCCTCCCCCCACTGACACCTATGATGGGGCACTATTCCTCCCCCCACTGATACCAATGATGGGGCACTATTCCCCCCACTGGCACCTATGATGGGGCACTATTCCTCCCCCCACTGACACCAATGATGGGGCACTATTCCTCCTCCCACTGACACCTATGATGGGGCACTATTCCTCCCACTGATACCAATGATGGGGCACTATTCCTCCCATTGATACCGATGATGGGACACTATTCCTCCTCCCACTGACACCTATGATGGGGCACTATTCCTCCCACCGACACCAATGATGGGGCACTATTCCTCCCACTGATACCAATGATGGAGCACTATTCCTTCCACTGACACCAATGATGGGGCACTATTCCTCCTACTGACACCAATGATGAGGCACTATTCCTCCCACTGATACCAATTATGGGGCACTATTCCTCCCACTGATACCAATGATGGGACACTATTCCTCCCACTGATACCAATGATGGGACACTATTCCTCCCACTGATACCAATGATGGGGCACTATTCCTCCCACTGACACCAATGATGGGGCACTATTCCTCCCACTGACACCAATGATGGGGCACTATTCCTCCCACTGATACCAATGATGGAGCACTATTCCTCCCACTGATACCAATGATGGGACACTATTCCTCCCACTGACACCAATGATGGGGCACTATTCCTCCCACTGATACCGATGATGGGACACTATTCCTCCCACTGACACCAATGATGGGGCACTATTCCTCCCACTGACACCAATGATGGGGCTCTATTCCTCCCACTGACACCAATGACGGGGCACTATTCCTCCCACTGACACCAATGACGGGGCACTATTCCTCCCACTGACACCAATGACGGGGCACTATTCCTCCCACTGATACCAATGATGGGGCACTATTCCTCCCACTGACACCAATGACGTGGCACTATTCCTCCTACTGCAAAATTACAGTTATGAAGTAGCAACGAAAATAATTTTATGGTTGGGGGTCACCACAACATGAGGAACTGTATTAAGGGGTCGCGGCGTTAGAAAGGTTGAGAACCACTGCACTAGAGGATGTCAGGCCCTCAGGCCACCCTCATGAAGTCTGTTTCTGATTGTTTGGTCAGAGACAGTCACACCAGTGGTCTGCTGGAGGTCATTTTGTAGGCAGTGTTCATCCTGTTCCTCCTTGCACAAAGGAGCAGATACTGGTCCTGCTGATGGGTTAAGGACCTTCTACGGTCCTGTGCAGCTCTCCTAGAGTAACTGCCTGTCTCCTGGAATCTCATCCATGCTCTTGAGACTGTGATGAGAGACACAGCAAACCTTCTGGCAATGGTACGTATTGATGTGCCATCCTGGAGGTGTTGGACTGCTTGTACAACCTCTGTAGGGTCCAGGTATCGCCTCATGCTACCAGTAGTGATACTGACCCTAGCCAAATGCAAAACTAGTGAAGAACAAGAAGGATGAGTAGGAAAAAATGTCAGTGGCCTCCACCTGTAAAACCATTCCTGTTTTGGGGGTCGAATCATTGTTGCCCATCTAGTGCACCTGTTGTTAATTTCATTAACACCAAAGCAGCTGAACTTGATATCCCAAGAATTAAATTGACTCGATGCTATACTCTGATTAAAAAGTGTGCCTTTCATTTTTTTGAGCAGTGTATATCCACTTTGTGTGTAGCCTGTGCAGAGAACAGAGCTGTAGGAGGGACCCATCAGGCCCTACCCACTACAGGCTGCCTGCAGGAAACTAGAGAAGGGGGCAGAGACAAGACCAGTCACCCTGCACAATGAGGGAGAGCATCAGTGACCGGTCTGTATTACAGGATGTTCCTGTAGAGGTAAAGTTCCACACTGGACAGATCTTGAAAAAATACACAAAGCACACCAAACCAAAGAATACACATGACTCTTGTATTTAGACAATATTTGTTTATCCCGGAGTTCAGCTTTAATTTTTTTCTCAAACATATTATTATAAAGTAGGGTTGTGATAAAGAATTTTATAAATAGTATTAATGTTTCTCCACCATACTGGATCAAACTATTAAAGTATCCTCTGCTGAAAACTGTCTTTTTTTTTAGCCAAAATATTATTATTTTTATTATTATACAGGATTTATATAGCAGCAACAGTTTGCGCAGCACTTTACAAAATAAAGGGAGACAGTACAATTACAATACATTTCAGTACAGAAGGAATAGGAGGGCCCTGCTCGTGGAGCTTACAATCTAAAGGAAGGGGGTGGTACAAAAGGTAATAGCAGCAGGGGATGATCTAATGGAGGTGGCTCAAATACACGTCTTAGGTAGAGGTAGGTAGGGTAGGCTTCCCTGAGTAAGTGAGTTTTCAAAGATCACCTAAAGGCAGACCTGGTGGGGACTGATCGGACATACTGGGGTAGGGAGTTCCAGATGATGGGAGAGGCTCTGGAGAAGTCCTGGAGGCAAGCATGGGAGGAGGTGACGAGGTAGCTAGAGAGGAAGATGTCTTGGGAGGAGCGTAGCGGGTGATTTGGATGATATCTACGGATGAGGTTGGTGATGTAGCTAGGGGCAGTGTTGTGAATGGCTTTGTACCTCTGTCCTTTTTTTTCTGTTGTCCCTCTTTAAAGCTAATCCACCCCCCCAAAAAAATATTCACTCACTGGCCACTTTATTAGATACATCTTGCTAGTGCCAAGAAAATCTCCCCCCCACCAGTACACCACCACCAGCCTGAACCATTGATACAAGACAGGATGGATCCATGCGTTCATGTTGTTTACGCCAAATTCTGACCCTACTATCTGAATGTCGCAGCAACCAGTCTGCCCATTCTCCTCTGACATCAGCAAGGCATTTTGATGCACACAACTGCCGCTCACTGGATATTTTCTCTTTTTTCGGACCATTCTCAGTAAACCCTAGCGATAATTATGCATGGAAATCCCAGTAGATCAGCAGTTTTTGAAATACTCAGACCAACACATCTGGCACCAACAACCATGCCATGTTCAAAGTCACTTCAATCCCCTTTCTTCCCATTCAGATGTTCGGTTTGAACTTCAGCATGTCGTCTTCTCTACGTCTAGATGCCTCAATGCATTGAGTTGCTGCCATGTGATTGACTTATGATACATAAGATGATAATTGATATTACTTATTAGCAATTTTTGTTACCAAGCATTGAACAGGTGTACTTATTTAAGAGGTTGGTGAGTGTATATTTCAGCTTACCAGTCCTTAGGTTTGTTGGCTAAATTAGTTTCCATTTTTTTCTTTATTTTCACCTAGTGATCCTGCAAATAACATACTTCCTGTCCTGGGGTGGCTACGCTCACTCCTCCAATGTATCTATAGAGGGAGCCATGGTTGTCATCAAAGAATAGGGCTACAAAACACATTTCTCTCTTCATCTCCATTATATGGGAGGTGGGGGAGTCAGTAGTTTACTGGAGATAGCTTGGAAGGAAAATAATATTACTTGATATACCAGTTCATCTCACAGAAAGTGACAAGGACACAGCATTTCTGGCAAGAGTAACAGGTCATTTTGATCTTGCTCAAAATTAAAGGGAGAATCGGCAACGGTTGGGCCTTGGGAGCCTATGGATGACATCACAGTTCCAGGAATTCCAGCTTTTGTTCAGTGCTCCCTCTTCTCCCTGCAGCTGCTGCTTACTAAAACAGGGGAGATCATGTGACTGGATCAGAGCAGACTATAAATAGCTAAGCAAACACATTTTTTTTCACACAGGTTAGGCAGCATAGGAATCAGGAGGGGGACATATTTAAGCATAGTTAAAGTTAGGATGAAACTCTACTTTAAACCACTTCAATGCTGGACACTTTCATCCCCTCCTGCCCCAGGCCAATTTTCAGATTTTAGCGCTGTCACATTTTGAATGACAATTGCTCGGTCATGCAACACTGTATCCAAATGAAAACACTTCATCCAAATGAAATGTGTATAATTTTTTTCACACAAATAGACATTTTTTTGGTGGTATTTAATCGTCACTGGGGTTTTCATTGTTTGCTAAATAAATGAAAAAAGAACAAAAATTGTGCAAAAAAACTTTTTTGCTTTGTTTCTGTTACAAAATGTTGCCAATTAATAATTTTTCTTCATAAAGTTAGGCTACAATGTATTCTGTGTATTCAGTGTATATTATTTAGTCTGTGTGTGAAAGTCTACAAACTATGGTATATATATCTGAAAATTGATCAATCCTGATGCACTGACAGCTGATTTCATTTCTTGGCCCGAAAATGCCAGGACAGTACACATACCCCCCAAATGACCCCTTTTTGGAAAGTAGACAGTCCAAGGTACGTGGTTTAATAAGAGGCATTGTGAGGGGAGCAGGAGGGAACAGTACTGGGGGGGAAGTATAGGGGGGCCAGGAGGGAACAGTATAGGGGGGTTGGAGGGAACAGTATAGAAGGGCCCTGAGGGAACAGTATGGGGGGGGGGCAGGAGGGGAACAGTATAGGAGGGCCAGGAGGAAACAGTATAGGAAGGCCAGAAGGGAACAGTATGGGGGGCCAGGAGGAGTACAGTATAGGGGGGCCAGTAGGGAACAGTATAGAGGGGTCAGAAGGGACAGTATGGGGGGGGCCAGGAGAGTACAGTATAGGGGGGTCAAGAGGGAACAGTATAGAGGGGCCAGTAGAGCACAGCACAGTACAGCGGGGCCGGGAGAAAAACAGTACTGGAGGGCACAACGCTGGGGTCTGTAGTGGTTGTCCCTAGAGATGAGCGAATTATTCAAAAATTCGATTCGGCTGATTCGCCGAATTCGCGGAATAAATTCAATTCGAGGCGAATATATTCGCTGCGAATTTAACTTATAAAAAGGGTGTTTCTAGGCTTCAGAGAGCCTTTATATTAGTGCAGAACACTGTACTTTTAATTTAAATGCCCTTGGAGTCTGCTGGGGAAGAGAAATAATACTGTCAGTCAGTATGACATGCAGATGAGTGCCGTCGATCTTAGAATCACCGCACACTTCACTCATTTGGGCAGTCACGGGGCCAAAACCAGAGTGTGGAGCCACAGTGTGGCGGTGGAGGCAGCAGCAATGGGAGGCCATACAGCACCTATGACAAAATGGAACCCACCAGGCAGTGTGAGGAGACCTGAAAGTGGCACATGGCAGAGTGTGGCGATCGATGGAGACAGCAGCAATGGGAGGCCGTACAGGGACCCATGACACACTCTGGACCTGGCAGCAGCATGAGGAGGCGGTACAGGGGCCCATGACAGATTACGGGCCTGCCAGCAGCATGAGGAGAGTTGGTACGGGGGCCCATGGCAGATTACGGGCCTGGCAGCAGCATGAGGAGGCGGTACAGGGGCCCATGGCAGAGTGGCGGAGCGTAAGCAGCTAAAATTGAAGGCCATACAGAGGCCTATGTTAAAAAGTCCCCCAGCAGCAGCAGCGTGGGGAGACGACTATCAAGAGTCCAATGGCAGAGTGGCGGAGCAGAAGCAGCTTCAGTTGAAGGCCATACACAGGCCTAGGTTAAAAAGCGGAAGCGTCAGCAGCGTGAGGCAGACGACAGAGACACATGGCGCAGGTAAGGTGGCGGTGGATGCAGCAGTATTCGGAAGCCAAACACAGGCCTCGGTTAAAAAGCGGAAGCCGTCTGCAGCGTGAGCAGACGACAGAGGCACATGGCGCAGGGGTGGCGGTGGTGGACGGCTTCTAGCAGCAGTAATGGAAGGTCATACAGCACACCCTATCACAAAATGGAACCCACCAACAGTGTAAAGGAGACCTGAAAGTGGCACATGGCGCAGGGTGGCGGTGGAGGCAGCAGTATTCGGAAGACATACACAGGACTAGTTTAAAAAGTGGAAGCCATCAGCAGCGTGAGCAGACGACAGAGGCACATGGCGCAGGGTGGCGGCGGTGGAGGCAGCAGCAATGGAAGGCTATACAGCACCCTATCACAAAATGGAACCCACCAACAGTGTAAGGAGACCTGAAAGTGGCACATGGCGCAGGGTGGCGGTGGAGGGCAGCAGTATTCGGAAGCCAAACACAGGCCTCGGTTAACAAGCGCGCAGGGTGGCGGTGGATGCAGCAGTATTCGGAAGCCAAACACAGGCCTCGGTTAAAAAGCGGAAGCCGTCAGCAGCGTGAGCAGACGACAGAGGACACATGGCGCAGGGGGTGGCGGTGGATGCAGCAGTATTCGGAAGCCAAACACAGGCCTCGGTTAAAAAGCGGAAGCCGTCAGCAGCGTGAGCAGACGACAGAGGCACATGGCGCAGGGTGGCGGTGGAGGCAGCAGCAATGGAAGGCCATACAGCACCCTATCATAAAATGGAACCCACCAACAGTGTAAGGAGACCTGAAAGTGGCACATGGCGCAGGGTGGCGGTGGAGGCAGCAGTATTCGGAAGCCAAACACAGGCCTCGGTTAAAAAGCGGAAGCCGTCAGCAGCGTGAGCAGACGACAGAGGCACATGGCGCAGGGTGGCGGTGGAGGCAGCAGCAATGGAAGGCCATACAGCACCCTATAAAAAATGGAACCCACCAACAGTGTAAGGAGACCTGAAAGTGGCACATGGCGCAGGGTGGCGGTGGAGGCAGCAGTATTCGGAAGCCAAACACAGGCCTCGGTTAAAAAGCGGAAGCCGTCAGCAGCGTGAGCAGACGACAGAGGCACATGGCGCAGGGTGGCGGTGGATGCAGCAGTATTCGGAAGCCAAACACAGGCCTCGGTTAAAAAGCGGAAGCCGTCAGCAGCGTGAGCAGACGACAGAGGCACATGGCGCAGGGTGGCGGTGGAGGCAGCAGCAATGCAGCAATGGCCATACAGCACCCTATCACAAAATGGAACCCACCAACAGTGTAAGGAGACCTGAAAGTGGCACATGGCGCAGGGTGGCGGTGGAGGCAGCAGTATTCGGAAGCCAAACACAGGCCTCGGTTAAAAAGCGGAAGCCGTCAGCAGCGTGAGCAGATGACAGAGACACATGGCGCAGGGTGGTGGCGGTGGATGCAGCAGTATTCGGAAGCCAAACACAGGCCTCGGTTAAAAAGCGGAAGCCGTCAGCAGCGTGAGCAGACGACAGAGACACATGGCGCAGGGTGGCGGTGGATGCAGCAGTATTCGGAAGCCATACACAGGCCTAGGTTTAAAACTGGAACCCAGCAGCGTGAGCAGCGACGACAAAGACGCACATGGCAGAGGATGGATCTGGCAGCAGTATGAGAAGGCGGTACAGGGGCCCGTGACACAGTGTGGTGATGGGGGCTACAGCAACTGGATGCCAGAAAGTGGCCGATAGGGCTATATATACTGCATGGAATTATAAAGTTGTAAAGACAGCGGCCTATTTGTCCCTAATAACATGTTTGGGGCATGATTCATGGCGGATTTAGTCAGTTGTGTCAGGAACTGGTGGTTTGAAATCCAGACTAATCCACGCCTGATTCATTTTCACAAACGTGAGTCTCTCCACACTTTGGGTGGACAGTCGTGTCCTCCGCGGAGTTACAATACCTCCTGCCGCACTAAACACGCGCTCCGATGCCACGCTACTGGCCGGGCATGACAGCCTTTCAAGGGCAAATTCAGCTAGTTGGGGCCAAAGGTCAAGTTTTGTTGCCCAGTAATCAAGGGGATTGTCTACCTCGGTTGGCAGGGTGCTGTCCAAGTAGGCCCAAGCCTGTTGTTTGAGGTCCTGCTCCAGGTCCACCTGATGCTGCTGCTGCTGCGGCTGGTTAGTAGTTTACTCACTGCGCTGGTGAAGAAAGCTACTCATCATCGACTGCAGACTGAGGCAGCCGCTGCTGGTGGAGCTGCCACTGCTCCTACCCCCACCCCTCCCCTGCTGCCATGGCAGCGGAAACGCGAGCGCACAGGGCCCACAGTGTCTGAGGATGGACGTTGGCGCAGAAAGGCAGAGACCAACTGACTACATAGGTGGTTTTTATAGTACTTTATTTTGGCCTCCCTCTCAGCAGGTGTGAAAAAGGCCACCATTTTTGAAGGGTAGCGAGGGTCCAACAAGGTGGACAGCCAAAAGTCATCCCTCTGTCTGATGGTTATTATTCGGCTGTCGCTACGCAAGCAACCGAGCATGCTATGGGCCATTTGTGCCAAGGAATGCGAGGGACTGCCCTGCCTCCATCTCCACAGCATACTGCCACGGTGCGTCTGGGTCCTCTGTCTCCTCCTCCTCCTCTACCAGATGCTCCTGCTCCTCCACTCCTGTCCGCTGAGTGGAAAAACCCACCCATTTCACTCAATAATTCCTGAGCACCAATGTCCTCCTCTACCTCCTCCTCTCTTCTTCCTGTCCTGCCCCCACAGGGGTCATGTGGCGTTGAGATCTGTGCGCCACGTCTACTACCGCACCCTGACCAGCCATTGTTAACAGCATTTGTTCCAGGACGTGCAACAGAGGAATGACGTCGTTCATCCCATAGTCCTGCCGACTCACGAATAGCGTGGCCTCCTCAAAGGGCCTGAGCAAGCGGCAGGTGTCACGCATGAGCTGCCAATGGCTGACATCTAAGTTACACAGGGGAGTACCTTTATCCGCTTGTAACATCAGGAAATCGGTGATGGCCTTTCGCTGTTCGTAAAGGCGGTCTAACATATGTAGGGTTGAATTCCACCTTGTTGCAACGTCGCAGATCAGGCGATGCTGTGGAATTCCGTTCTGCCGCTGCAGCTCAAGGAGGGTGTGCTTTGCGGTGTAGGAATGGCTGAAATGCATGCAAAGTTTACGTGACATTTTAAGGATGTCTTGCAGTGGGATGGTGGATTTTAGGAACCGCTTGACAACCAGATTGAACACGTGAGCCATGCATGGCGCATGGCACAACCTTCCTTGACGCAGAGCACACACCATGTTCTTTCCGTTGTCGGTCAACATGGTTCCGATTTTCAGTTTGTGCGGAGACAGCCATCTGTCGATTTCTCTGTTCATTACACTCAGAAGTTCCTCCCCTGTGTGACTACGTTCGCCAAGGCATACCAGGTGCAGCACAGCGTGACACCGTTGCGCCCTGCACATGTGATATGCCGGTCAGGTAATGGGACTTGGCACGGGGGTGGCGGCTGAGGACACGGCGGAAGAAGAGGTGGTAGAGGCGGACATCTTTGCGGACCAAGGACGTGCAAACGTGGAGGCAAAAGCGGCGTGACCTGTCCAAGTTGCTGGTGCGGCTGCAGCTGTGCCATGTGACATGTACTGTCCCTGACCGTAGTTACAGCTCCACACGTCGGCGCTGCCGTGCACTTTGGCAGAGACCGACATGCTCAAAGACTGGCCCACCATCTCTTCTACATGTGAATGCAGGGCTGGCACTGCCTTTTTGGCGAAGAAATGCCGGCTTGGCACTCTCCACCGCAGCTCGGCACAAGCCATCATTTCTCGGAAAGGTGCTGAGTCCACCACTTGGAAAGGGAGGGACTGCAGCACCAGCAACTTGGACAGGAGGACGTTCAGCTTCTGCACCGTCGGGTGCGTGCTCGCAAACTGTTGTCTCTTGGAAACGGATTCCAAGAAAGACTGCTGACGGAATCCGTGAAGAGGAGTAGCAGGAGAAGGAGCATCTGAACGAGCGGAAGATGCCAACGAGCGACAACTCCCCTCAGCAGAGGTGTTGGAGCCTTGACTGGCTGATAGAGGGCGATTGACGACGTCGTCGGTGTGACGGAGCAAGTAACGGAGCGGGTGATGGAGCGGGGGCTGGGGCAGGCAGAACCGCCGTATCTTTATCACGGTTTTCCCAGGCCACCGAATGGCGACGCTGCATATGCTGATGCAACGCTGTAGTCCCAACATGGGCCCCCTGGCCACGCTTGACTTTCTGGCCACATAGTCGACATACGGCTACGTTTACTTCCTCGGGCGGCTTCACGAAAAATTGCCACACCGCCGAGTAGGAAACTTTGCCCCCGCTACTCCTCACTGGCTGACTGCTACTTCCTCCGTGCACACCGGCACCACTACTGGCCGTGGTGGTAGGCTGCAGTGGAGCTGGTGCTCTACTCCGTGGCCGTTTGCCTCCACTGACACTGCTGCGACCCTGCTGCCTCCTGGGCAACCCACCGACTGTTTTGCTCGCTGGCAAGCTGGCACCCTCTTCTCCTGATGATGCGGAAGCAATAGCCTGATGACGACGAGGCTGCCAAGTGCGATCAGCCTCATCATCATCAATTAGGGTCTCCGCGTCACTACTAGCCCCCTCGGCTGCGTGTGGGTCAGGAGACAGACCTGTCTCTAGACCGGCTACCGAGCCACTCTCCTCGCCAGTACTTCTTCGCCTGGCTGCTGAAGAGGCGGATGTCTCCCCCCGTTCCTGACCGCCCTCTGTTAGCTCTTCCTCACTGTACAGTGGGGCTGAGCCCACAGCATGCGATACTTCGCTTGGTGAGGGAACAGCAAAGGACAGGGGCAGGTCGAGGACACGTGATTTCAGTGGGCTTGCTCCCGGGCCATGCCAACTAACGGTTGTGTCTGACGTACCCACCGACCGTTGGCTGTAGGTGTCAGAGGTGACCTGGGAAGAGAAGACGACCAAGTCAACCAATCGATGACGGCAGGGTTGTCGGTGGAGACACGACCGCTGGATGACACCGGGAGCACTGGCCTCTGGCTGCGACTAGTGCTGCCTCGACCCCTTCCTCTGCTGCCACGTCTGCTCGCTCCTGAAACATTGCCTCCTCTGCCACTCCTCTGCGTGTTGTCTGATATACTCTTTAATTCAATAAGCACCCCAAAAATAAAACCGGATTTAACTCTTTGAACGTACAATAGTGGTTGTGAAGCAGAAAGTCAGTTTATTTAGCACAATCGGTCAATTGCAGCTTGCCGTTGGCTGGAAACTGTTTTATGTCACTGGAATGCACTAATCACCCAAAAAATATTACCGCCACCCGGCGTGTAAATGGATCTAACTCTTTGAACGTACAATAGTGGTTGTGAAGCAGAAAGTCAGTTTATTTAGCACAATCGGTCAATTGCAGCTTGCCGTTGGCTGGAAACTGTACGTTTATGTCACTGGAAAGCACTAATCACCCAAAAAATATTACCGCCACCCGGCGTGTAAATGGATCTAACTCTTTGAACGTACAATAGTGGTTGTGAAGCAGAAAGTCAGTTTATTTAGCACAATCGGTCAATTGCAGCTTGCCGTTGGCTGGAAACTGTACGTTTATGTCACTGGAATGCACTAATGACCCAAAAAATATTACCGCACCCGGCGTGTATATGGATTTAACTCTTTGAACGTACAATAGTGGTTGTGAAGCAGAAAAGTCAGTTTATTTAGCACAATCGGTCAATTGCAGCTTGCCGTTGGCTGGAAACTGTACGTTTATGTCACTGGAATGCACTAATCACCCAAAAAATATTACCGCCACCCGGCGTGTATATGCATTTAACTCTTTGAACGTACAATAGTGGTTGTGAAGCAGAAAGTCAGTTTATTGTACACAATCGCTCAATTGCAGCTTGCCGTTGGCTGGAAACTGTACGTTTGTGTCACTGGAATGCACTAATCACCCAAAAAATATTACCGCCAGCCGGCGTGTAAATGGATCTAACTCTTTGAACGTACAATAAGTAACGATTCTGTGTCCCTGAGTAACGATTCTGTGTCCCTGAGTAACAATTCTGTGTCCCTGAGTAACGATTCTGTGTCCTGAGTAACGATTCTGTGTCCCTGAGTAACGATTCTGTGTCCCTGAGTAACGATTCTGTGTCCCTGAGTAACAATCTGTGTCCCTAAGTAACGATTCTGTGTCCCTGAGTAACG